GGGTAAAGATGCCTGAAGTTGTGGTTCGTGGAATTATGGAATATTCTGAGGTGGAATGGACCCACAGGGAGCAAATCCAGGGATCAAATCCAGCCCCTGGCTCTGCACAGACACCCAAAATCCCACCCTGTGCTGGGAAGGGTCTGGAAATCCTGAGAGAGGTGGGGAAGGGTCTGAAGAATCCTGGAAGAGCTGGGAAGGGGCTGGAGAATCCTGAGAGATGGGGAAGGGTCTGGAAAGCTCCTGAGGGAGCTGGGAAAGGGTTTGGAGAAACCTGAGGAAGCTGAGGAAGGGTCTGGAGCACATGGATAAGGGTCTGGAGATTCGTGAGGGAGCTGGGAAGGGTCTGGAGAATCCTGAGAGAGCTGAGGATAAGTATGGAGAATTCCGAGAGGTGAGGAAAGATTTGGAGAATCCTGAAAGCGCTGGGAAGGGTCTGGAGAATTCCYGAGAGAGCTGAGGAAAGGTTTGGAAAATCCTGAAAGAGCTGGGAAGGGTCTGGAGAGCTTCTGAGGGAGCTGGGAAAGGGTTTGGAGAATCCTGAGGGAGTTGGGGAAGGGTTTGGAGACTCTTGAGGGAGCTGAGTAAAGGTTTGGAGAATTCCTGAGAGAGGTGAAGAAAGATTTGAAGAATCTTGAAAGAGCTGGGAATGGTATGGAGAACCCAGAGGGAGCTGGGAAGGGTCTGGAGGATCCTGAGGGATCTGGGAAGGGTCTGGAGAGTTCCTGAGGGAGTTGAGGAAAGGTTTGGAGAATCCTGAAAGAGCTGGGAAGGGTCTGGAGAAACCTGAGGGAGCTGAAAAAGGGTGTGGAGAATCCTGAGGAGATGGGGAAGGGTTTGGAGAATCCTGAGGGAGCTGGGAAGGGGCTCAGCCTGGAGCAAAGGGGGATCAGGGGGGACCTTGTGGCTCTGCACAACTCCCTGACAGGAGGGGRCAGCCGGRGGGGATTTGGGATCTGATCCCAGGAACAGGGACAGGAGGAGAGGGAACGGCCTCAGGCTGGGCCAGGGGAGGCTCAGGGTGGACATCAGCGGGAATTTCCTCATGGAAAGGGCGGCCAGGCCTGGGAAGG